GACAAAGGAGCTAAAAATATACGATGGAGAAAAGACAGCCTCTTCAACAAAAACTGCTGGGAAAACTGGTTAGCAGTCTGCAAAAACTGAAACTAGATCCATGTATATCACCCTATACCAATATTAACTCAAAATGGATCAAGGATCTTAATATCAGACCACAAACTCTAAAGTTGATACAGGAAAGAGTAGGAAATACTCTGGAGTTAGTAGGTATAGGTAAGAACTTTCTCAAAGGAACCCCAGCAGCACAGCAACTAAGAGATAGCATAGATAAATGGGACCTCATAAAACTAAAAAGCTTCTGTTCATCAAAAGAAATGGTCTCTAAACTGAAGAGAACACCCACAGAGTGGGAGAAAATATTTGCCAGCTACACATCAGACAAAGGACTGATAACCAGAATATATAGGGAACTTAAAAAACTAAATTCTCCCAAAACTAATGAACCAATAAAGAAATGGGCAAGTGAACTAAACAGAACTTTCTCAAAAGAAGAAATTCAAATGGCCAAAAAACACATGAAAAAATGCTCACCATCTCTAGCAATAAAGGAAATGCAAATTAAAACCACACTAAGATTCCACCTCACCCCTGTTAGAATAGCCATCATCAGCAACACCACCAACAACAGGTGTTGGCGAGGATGTGGGGAAAAAGGAACCCTCTTACACTGTGGTGGAATGTAAACTAGTACAACCACTCTGGAAAAAAATTTGGAGGCTACTTAAAAAGCTAACATTGATCTACCATTTGATCCAGCAATACCACTCTTGGGATATACCCAAAAGACTGTTACTCCAGAGGCACCTGCACACCCATGTTTATTGCGGCACTATTCACAATAGCCAAGTTATGGAAACAGCCAAGATGCCCCAGCACTGACGAATGGATTAAGAAAATGTGGTATCTATACACAATGGAATTTTATGCAGCCATGAAGAACGAAATGTTATCATTCGCTGGTAAATGGATGGAATTGGAGAACATCATTCTGAGTGAGGTTAGCCTGGCCCAAAAGACCAAAAATCGTATGTTCTCCCTCATATGGACATTAGATCAAGGGCAAACACAACAAGGGATTGGACTTGAGCACATGATAAAAGCGAGAGCACACAAGGGAGGGGTGAGGATAGGTAAGACACCTAAAAAATTAGCTAGCATTTGTTGCCCTTAACACAGAGAAACTAAAGGAGATACCTTAAAAGCAACTGAGGCCAATAGGAAAAGGGGACAGGAACTAGAGAAAAGGTTAGATCAAAAAGAATTAACCTAGAAGGTAACACCACGCACAGGAAATCAATGTGAGTCAATGCCCTGTATAGCTATCCTTATCTCAACCAGCAAAACCCTTGTTCCTTCCTATTATTGCTTATACTCTCTCTACAACAAAATTAGAAATAAGGGCAAAATAGTTTCTGCTGGGTATTGAGGGGTGGGGGGAGAGGGAGGGGTGGAGTGGGTGGTAAGGGAGGGGGTGGGGACAGGGGGGAGAAATGACCCAAGCATTGTATGCACATATGAATAATAAAATAAATAAATAAATAAAATTTAAAAATGTGGGATTTTGTTACTGCATATGTTATTATTTATAGTCATGTGTTCACAAGAAACTTAATGTGTCAACTTCTAATAATAGGCTTTCCATGGAGGTTACCAGAAGCCATGTGTTGGAAGGAAGCATATTTGGATTGACTTGAGCCAGTAATGATACATGAGAAAGCGCTAACTTGCCAAAAACCTATATCCTAAATATCTAAGAGGTGAATTTTGAAGTTTTATGGTTTTGAGAAAAAGTTCCCAATATTATCATTACATAGTCTTTTTTTCCCTCAAAAGTGCCTCACAAACCAGGCGTGGTGGTGCATGCCTGCAATCCCAGCGCTCAGAATGTTGAAGCAGGAGGACCCCAACTTTGAGGCCAGTCGGGGCCATGTGGTAAGTCCCTGTCTCAAAAAAAGGGCATTACAATGCATGAATCTTAAAAACATTATGCTAAGTAAAAGAAATAAGTCACAAAAGACCCCATATTGTAACATTTAATTTATATGGGATGTCCATAATCAATAGAAGTAGAAAGTAGATCAGTGGTTGCTTAGAACTTGGGGGCCTGGTGGTATTATAGAAATGACAGATAAAGAGAAGGGGTTTTTTTTGAGGTGAAGAAAATGTCCTAAAATTAGACTGAGGTGATGGTTGCACAACTCTGTAACTTTTTACAGGAATGAATTAGATGGTATATAGATTATATCTTAAAACTTATCAGAAAGCGTACAGTGCATCCTTTAAGCGTCTATTGTACATACAAGTTTGGGATTAGAAAAGCACATGCAATTATTTTAGAGGTGACAGCAGTGGAATTTAGATTTCTTCCAGAAAGGCTAATTCAGGGAATGTGGAGTGCTTTGGTTAACTAGCATTGCCACTTTAGTTCTAGGTTTTGTCATAGAGGGATTGGTGACAGCATTCCCAGGCCTGTCAAGGAGTGAGGGATTCAGGGCAGACTGCAGGTTTCAATGGGTCTGCTGGGCTAAGGAGCCGGGCCTCCTGCCATGTGAACACAGCAAGAATGCACCATCTGTGAAGCCAAGAGCCTTCAGCAGGCACTGATCTGCAGGTGCCTTGATCCTGGGACCTCCCAGATTTCAGAACCGTGAGCAATACATTTCTGTCATTTATAAACTACCTCCTCTAAGGTAGTTTGTTAAACCAGCCTGAATGGACTAAGACGCCAATTTAAGACACACTGAAATTTATTTAGCATACTTGATATTGCACAAAGACGAAAATACTGACACTACATAAACATTACTTCAAGGACAATGATTTTCTTAGATCGACAGTTACATTTTCTTATAAACACATGTAACATAAAATAAAATAACATAGAACATAAAAATGTCTTCAGTTAACACACTTCATTATATCCTCATTGGCAAAATATACTAGGTTGGCAGGTCAGGCCTGCAATAAAGACATTATTTTTACGTAAAACTGGAGTTCTGATGTTAAGAATTTAAGATTTTCAATAGCATCTTTATTCTGAAGTATGACATCTTTTGGGATTTAACCTGGATGCACAGTGACGGACAGTTCTGATGGGATGTGATCCAGTTTCTAAGTTAAAAATATGCTGTTTAAAAACCAGACTTATATGGTTTTAAGTTGTTAAGGTGATAAACATGTGATATCGCCCTGATTATTTGGTTTAAACAAACTGTGTATTGCACGATTTTATTTTTATACACAAGGTCACATAATATAGTGAGAGGGAGCCCTGGATTCTTGTCGGGACTCTGTAACTCAATATCCAAGTCATCCAGACAAACTGGACTCTCTCTGGGGCTCACTGGCCACAGTTTAAAAGGGAAAAAGGGAGATTTTGGAGGAAAGGGACAAGGTTTGTTTAAGTGACCTCAAAAGTTCCATCTAGTAAATTTCAATTAGGGTAAGTAAAGTCCATGTAAGTTTAAAATGGAGATGCAAAGTGAATCAAATTGATATTTTACATTTGAACAACGAATTGTAATACTAACCCTCTCTCAAATCTCCTCAAAAAATAATACTCTCTCTGAAGCCATCTGTAGCGCTAACATTAGGAATTGTTATAGGAGCATTTTTAGAGTCTGGAGTTTAAGAAAGGTTTATAATCTGGCAATTAAAGTTATAATTCAGTGCCATCTTTGATAGCAAAATCATTTTACAAATATTTTTATGCATATAAAAATTACTTCTAGTCGGAGACCTTGTAAGTACTGCTAACACAACCAAGTAGGAAATGACAGAATTTTATCCTTCCTAGGACTTTTTCCCCATGTGAAATACAACCCCAATTTTCAGTAATACAAGTTATTTCAGATGGCTCATCCAAAACACACTGACAGAGGGATGGCATCAGAAAGTAGGAAAACCAACTGTAGATGAAAGCGAAACACACAGAAGTCTCCAAATTGGCAAGATCAGTTACACTAATCATTTAGTTTTTTAAAAGCGGGACGTAGGAATGACATTCCTAATGTCTCGACTTTGGGAAGTTTTGGTCGTCATCTCTTTGCTTGGTGTTCCTTACAAAATGAGCGTCAGGAGGAGGCCCCTAGAAACTCCAGCGTTTCCGAGCTTTGCAGTCTTACTGCCATTATCTTGTCCTGGCATTGAGGATGTAGCAGCCCGTAACTACATCAGAGCGTGGAAAATAAGGGAGAGAAAACTAGAAGGATTTTTTTTTTAAGGAAGTGGTCATTCAAAGACAGAAAACCCAAGTTAGTTACAATTTCCTTGTCCAAGTTGTTAAAGGGGCGGGTCGGGCAGGATATGAAAATAGGAAGGGAGAACTCAGCTAGGGTCTGAGAGCAGGGTCGGGGGTGGGGGAATGGCAGCAAATTCCTCAATGAAGCATGCTAGACAAAGTAACCTGGGGACGCGACCTGTCTTGGGAAGGGCACAGAGTGGCCCCAGTATTTCCCAAGGGTGAGTCCAGGTGAGGGGTGTGTTACCCAGCGCCCCTGGCGGAGAGCCCGGCATTTGCCCAGGCGTGGTCTCTCCACCGTCTCCTCTGCGCACGGTGGCCTCCTGGATGTCAGTGCGCAAAGTAGCCGCTTAATCCCCGCTCTCTCCGGACCTTCAAAGCAGACAATTGAGCCCGGGCGTCTTTTGCAGGCACAGGAGCACCAGCAGGTAGCCAGTCCTCTGGCTCAGCAGGGCACACCTCCTTGGATATCACCAGGCCGGGGGGGCGGGGGGGGCTTCCGCCTTTCCTGAGACTCCGTTCCTTTACCCTCAACAGTGTTTCAGGGACCCCCTGGTGTCTGGTCACCACAGTCAGGCCCCTGGCCTGCGCCGCTTCCTCTCGGGCCTGGACCGAGGTTCCCAGCCACCACTCGGGGCGCGGGGCGGGGCGTGCCAGGGTGGCCGAGGCGGCGCGCTATTCCTGTCCCTGTGAGCTACAGGCATGTTATGTGCAGCGCCCAATCACGCCTCCAACCCGCTGCGCTGACCCGTGCCCCTCCTCTAATCCCCTAGGCTTTGATTTGATCCTCTGCGAGGAACAAGCTCAACCCGTCTGCCCCGTAGCCAGTTGTCCCCGGCCCTCGCAGGTGCCCACGGAACCGGTCCTCTTCGTCCACCCCCAGGAGGTCAGAGCCCTCACCTCGCACTGCCGGGCCACCCGGGGTCGGGGGCCGCACCCGCACATCTGGACCATCAGAGATCCAGCATCCCGCTGTACACGTGACAGCAAGGCCCTTCCAGGTGATGGGTGTGCGGCCACCGCCGCCCCTGGCGCGCAGGTGTGAGCGCCCCAAATTGTGCGGGGGAGGGGGCTTTAGGCAACGCGCTGGCAGCCTCCGCAGCCGCTGACACCGAGCCCAGCAATCCCCGGAAGGCTCCAAATTCCGAGTCCGCCGCTACTGGAGGTTTCTGGAAATTGTCCCCAGACCGAATTTTTTCTGAGAGGGACACACGCGGACCTGGATGAAGAAGCCTTGGGTTTTAAGCTAAGCAGGCAAAAATGGGCCTTTGCTAGGGGCTGTGCGGGTCTCGCAGGGGACTTGGGGGTTCCATGTCCCGGGATGCCTCCAGAGGCGCCCGGCTGGCTCTATTCCCTGCCCGGCCGCATCCCGCCCTGGGCATCATGAGTTACTTCCTGTCCTACTGCAAAGCTCATGGCGGCGCGCTGCTCACTGGCTACCAGACCCTCCGCGCCGAGGGCTTTTTGTGCGACGTGACACTGGAGGCCCAGGGCAGCGAGTTCCCGGCGCACAGGTCGCTCCTAGCGTGCTCCAGCGACTACTTCAGGGCTCTGTTCAAGAGCCACACCCGGGAATCCCGGGCGCGTGTGATCCACCTGCACGTACCGTCGGCGGCCGGCCTGCAGCGCCTGCTGGACTTCATCTACACTGCCTGGCTGCCCCTGTCCATGGACACTGTGGAGGACACGTTGGAGGCGGCCAGCTACCTGCAAGTCACCGAGGCCTTGGGGCTGTGTGGCCGCTACTTGGAGCGGCAGTTGGCCCCAGAGAACTGCTGCTTTACCGCCAACGTGGCGGCGCGCTTTGGCCTGGTGCACACGTTGGGTGCGGCTGAGCGCTGCGTCGTGCGTCACCTGTGGCAGCTGCTGGTGACGGGCGCGGGTCCCACGGGGCTGCTGGAACTCAACCCTGCGTCCCTGAAGGCCGTGTTGAGTGCCCCCGACGTGGCGCGAGTGTCTGAGGCCCGGCTGCTGGGCCTGGCGCTGACCTGGCTGCGGCAGGAGCCCGCGGCCGAGCGCCTGGCACACAGCGCGGCGCTTCTGGGTTGTATCCGCTTTGGCCTGGTGCCAGCCCACGTGCTGCGGCGCGTGTACTCGGGTTCGGGCCTCATGCTACCTGCTCGGATCAAGGGCCTCATCATCCAGGCCCTCAACTACCACACAGCACCCTCCCGCCAGCCGCTCATGCAGAGTGAACAGACCAGCATCCGGAGCCCCCAGACCCGCATCTTGCTGATTGGGGGGCTCCGGGCGCGGGAGGCAATTACCGAGGAGGTTGTGGTCCCGCAGGCAGCAGCCAGGGACCGGCGCGCCGCGGCCGAGCCCGAGGAAGAGGAGGAGGAGGAAGAGATGGAGGAGGAGGAGGAGGAAAAGGAGTGGGAGCTCACCCAGGACGTGGTGTCCTTCGATGTGTACAACCACCGCTGGCGCAGCCTCACGCAGCTGCCCGCACCGCTGCTTGGGCACTGCGTGTGTACCGCGGGTAACTTCCTGTTTGTCCTGGGTGGGGAGAGTCCTTCAGGCAGCGACTCCACACCCCTGGCCGACAGCCCACGGGCAGTCACGGCCCATGTGCACCGTTATGACCCGCGCTTCCACGCTTGGACAGAGGTGCCCGCCATGCGAGAAGCGCGGGCCTACTTCTGGTGTGGTGCGGTGGGCGACAGCCTCCTGGCCGTCGGGGGCCTGGGCTCTGGTGGTGAGGCACTGGCCTCTGTGGAGATATATGACCTGAGAAGGGACCGCTGGACGGAAGCCGGGGCACTGCCACGGCCGCTGCACGGCCACGCGGGGGCCGTCGGGGACCATGGTGTCGTGTACATCTCTGGGGGCAAGGAGGGGAGAGGTGAGGGTGGCGCGAGTAGCCTCCGGGACTTGTATGCTCTGGACCCCGGGGAGAGGGTGTGGAGCAAGAGAGCGCCCATGGGTACCGCCCGTTTTGGGCATCACCTTGCGGTGCTGCAAGGGGCGGTGTTTGCGTTTCTGGGACAATATGAGCCCTTCTCCGAGATCGAGCGCTATGACCCTGGCACCGACCAGTGGACTCGGTTGCGGCCGCTACCCTATGATCGCTTCTGCTATGGGCTGGCAGTGGTGGAAGAGACGGTGCTACTGCTGGGGGGTCTCAAGTGGCGGGAATCACGCCAAGTGCCCACCTGTAACGTGGTGGGCTACGATCTCGACCTGGACCACTGGGAAGACATCAGCTGCGTGCTCCCCTGGGCCTGGAGTGGCCTACAGTGCGCTGTGCTGCAGCTGGCTGAGGGTGGGGATGAGGAGAGGGAGGGACAGCCTGGAGAGGTGCTAGATTTAGTGCTGAGTTGAATGGGTGAGTCCAGCCTCCAGCAGAGGGAAGAGAAAGCCCTGCTAGAGGAGTGGGGCTCTGGTAGCAGAAGGGCTTTTGAGGTAAGAAGGGAAATGAGGGCTTGGCCAAAGAGAACCCCCGCCCCTCCCCCACCTTGACCTGAGACTGGGAGACAGGATATATTAAATAGTAGGATATGTGATGAGCTTCAGTGAGCTAAAAACTTTTGTAGAAAGACTCATGCTGGGCTAGAAATGGATTTTTGAAAATAAAATATGACCTAATGTCCCTTCTTATAGGTAAAGTGTTTCCCTAGGTGTCAAACTAGTGACTACTTCTGTGCCAAAAAAAAAAAAGCCAAAAGTACCACAAGAAGTTATAACCAGAGCTCAGAAAACTGTTGGTTACAAAGGCTGTAATACATAATCCTAGAAGATGGTATTATCTCAATAAATAGTGAAGGGAAAGTGCCTTGGTTGAATAGCATGAAATCATCCTAAGCAGAACTACAATTTTATGATCCAGAGTCATGGTTATAGTTCTGCTGTGATAGTTCCATATAAATATGGAACTGAGAGGAAAAACTCTCTAAGAAAGCATCTTCTTTGACAAATTGTCCTTGGTTAAATTCTTCTGTCCCTGGTACCCACCCTTAGTTTGCTTTTGCAGTCACTTTAGGCAGCTTATTGATTTAAATTCATATTATAGCAACCCTCAGCCACGATAGGCTGTATTTGTAAAAAAATTTTTTTTGATGATTTTCCCCGCTTCACACAAAGAATCACAGAGATGGGACAGAGGAGTAGGTGAAGTTTTCAAGTTTGTGTTAGGTCAGTGGGAAAGCAGCTTGATTTTTCAAGGTCTCAGAGGAGATACTTGTAAGCTCTGAAAGGTGCTACTTTTGGCTTGTGCCATCTATGAAGAGGCAAAGTTAGAACCTGTATCTGGGGGTAATCATGGTGGCTGTGTATTTAGGTCACAAAGAAATGTGGTAAGCACTTTTCATGAATAAAGTAGGTGCTGTATTAGGATTCATTAAGAGCTGAATTTATTTGACTTCAGTTTACAGTGCTGCCTCTCTCCTAGATTTGAAACTAATGCAATAAAATGTACAGATATATAGTGTTAAAAGGTCTCTTTCATGCTAGGCTAGCCACGAGTCTTGAAAATTCATTAGTTTAATTTTTACCATTTAAAACAACAGATGACTTTACAAAAGTAGAAGCTGCTTACAGCGACAGAGCTAGTCTTCCCATCAACTGCTTGCTGTTTACAGGCCACAACCTGGCCACTGTATACATGACACATCCATCAGGTACAAGTATTTTTAAGTGAACATACACATTTGGTCTAATAAACATCAATAAGTCTAAACACCTGTAACAAGCACACTTCATTTTAGGACAAGAGTTTCTTTTGTTTCTCTGTTTTACATATAGAAAAATCTCACAAATTTAATGTGCATCAATATCCATGCAGTAAATAAATGTTTTTACAAATAGGGTTTTTTAAATGATAAAAATATTACACTGGACCCAAAATTCCATACAAACATTAATATATGATTTCTCATCCATTTTGACTAAATATAGGATTACTGAAAATGTGCTGTAGAAAGGCCACTCTCCTGTACAGTTGTGCAAAGTCTGCAAAACGATAGAGTTTCAATGGTGGTTTCAAAAGCAAAGAAAAAGATCCGCACTGTGGAGTTTTTACTTTCTCCTCTACAGCAAAAAATATTCACTGGCATATATCTGAACTCTTAAAGATGTAAGTACATTCACTGAGCTGTACAGGCAACAGTATAAAGCTGATTAGAAGTAGATTTTAGGATATAGAATAGTAAAGGAGGGTCTCTTCCTCCTCCTGAAAAACAGCAAATTGTGACTTGTACGTTAATGCAGCCAGACACTGAAAAGTAGCACAGTCATTTTCATGCTGTGATCACTTTAAAAAATGAGATGCTTATAAATGGAAATATATGAAGAGGACTTTTTCATAGGCTTCATCCACTCTATTGAACAATTCATGATGCTAGGGAAAACCTCTAAATTGTCATCTCATATAATTCAATGTGACATCTCTGAGTGACCATCACCCTCTTGCCCCTTAGCAAGTACACTTTTATTTTCAATATTGTTTTCTATATTGTAACATACAACTGGCATAACTAAATGTGTCTTACTTCTCTGCCTGAAGTATAATTACATAAGTTGAATTAACAGACTAGGGGAAATACTGGAAACTACCTGGAAAGTCGATTCATTTCAGTTTATAGCTTGTCTTTTAAGTGTTAGAGTTCAAGAACATGAGTTTGGGCTGAAATTATATATATAGCTGTTAGCTGCCTTTCTGGGTGAGTTAAATCTGTTTAAAAAATCCATTCTTAAATTCTTCTGTACACAATCAGCATTTCATCACTACAAAAATAAAGGAAGATTTAAACCAAGAAAATAAAGCAGCTCTATCTTCATTTTGGTCTTAGTTACAAAAACATCTTACAAAGCTTTGCCCTGATACACCATTAAGTGTTCTCGCAGATTTGGAATAGTATTTCCATTAACCAGCTTTCACAAGTTAATAGACTATTAAGACGAATATTAGATACCTGAACTTTTCTTATGTTGATGCTCTTCTTAACTCTTGTGTGCGCACCTACATTTCACAAAAATAAAACTACAGCATTAAACTTTGTGCAATGTTTAAGAAAATTCTTAGAACATTTTAATAAATATAAAAAAGGTTTAAATTCTTTCCCACCCACAAGGATGTCTGCACCTGAAAAAATGTGATTCACTTTTGAAGTCTTGTTTATACAAAATTAACTTAAAGGGAGAAAAGATGACCTTAGATAGAAAACTGCCTTTTGTGGTTTTACTACTTGAAGACCACCTGTAGTCAGAATTATTTGCAAAAGTTAATTTAAGTCATTAAAGATAGTTGATTTTGCACATGGTAAACATAAGCTGAACACTGATTGCATATAAAGTATACAAATGCTCATTAAAGACAGTGGTATTGTGACCATATATGGTTTGTTTCAATAGTTTGGTAACATTAAAGTATAGCTTGTCAAGTGTCCCACACATTGATATAAAAACTACCTTATGTACTTGTTCAGAGTACCAGCAGGTAATAGATGGCCTGAAGGCAGAATGCACTTACACATGCGTCTCAATATATGAATGAGTGTGTGTTAGAGAAGAAGTGATTACTTCAACTTCAGAAGAGATACTTAATGGGTCGTTTGAGGTGGTGTTTTGACAGATATCCAAGAAAAGATCAAGGTACATCTGCTTCCACTGTTGGAACTCTTTAGATGTCAAGTCTGGATTGTCTAGGACTTTATCAATAATGGCCACTTCCCCTTCTCTGGCCTAAAAAGCAAAAGAATTCAATAGTTAAGATAGGGAGAAAATTTTATTCACATTTAAAATAATAGGCAAAATATTCAAAAGGCCATGAAAACGGCTTTGGGATGGTCACTGAATTATGTAGACTCAGATCCTAGTGTACTACTTCCTCCCCTGCAGTGTGCCTCATATTGCCCACTCTGTGATTTTTTTTCCTCTTAGCCTGTACTATTTATTCCTCATCTTTCTGCCTATGGAAAATTTCTTCATGCTTTAAGATCCAGGTGAAGACGTTCTCATTTCTTCAGACCTTCCTTAAACACTCAGAATAAAAGTTTTCTCCCTCACTGATGTTCCTGTAACACTCTATCCCTGCCACTGAGTGGACTTCTCATATCCTGTCTTTTGAGTTGCACTGGCATCTATCCTCTCACTTCTTCTATAAGGTAAAGTTCTTATGCTGAACTCCTTATGCTTGAATGAGAGTGAGCCTGGCTCTCCTGTTGCCACAAATACAGAATCTTGCTGTGTGAATATTATGGCTCCCTTCCTGTAGCACTGGGGGCCTGAAATGGACAATGGCCCTCCCTTCCAAGTTGGAGGCCCAGACTCAGCTAAGACTAAGCTTCATGTTGGTATAACTCACCAACTTGTGCCTATTAGCTGTGAAAGAAAAGAATCTCCCAGGTGGAAGGTGGGTAGATTAAGATGGTCTGCCTTTTCTGGACCCAACAAGGAAGGGCTAGTGAGTGCACGAAATGTTCTGTGAAAAGGCAAGCCTCTGTGCCAGCCAGAGGTGCCTAAGAAGTGCTTCTGGTCTGTGAGGAGACAGGGTATGAAGCATTCAGATCAAGAATGCTGGAGTTGCCTGTGATGGGGTTCTGAGATCTATGCTTGGTGAGGGTGTCTGTTAAAATTCCAGGATGTAGACACACCCAAGATTTCTTGGTCAGATGTCCCTCCATAACAAAAGATTTCATAACCTATTAAATTTCTAGGCCCCAAAGTACAGGGCTGTATAGTTCATTTTTATCAGTGGGATGATTTCTTTATAATGACTTTCATTATCTTTCTTTGTGCCTGAGTCAAGCACAGCATCATGCACCTGCTGTAGTTTATACAGCAGTTTAAACTACCTGGCAGTAGTTTATATTCTTAGTCCCTGGAAGAAAATGCTTTGAGGGAGTGTACAGAAAATGGGGGAAAGGGACTGAAAGGGAAAGGAGCAGGTCTTTAAGCTACATGAGTCTGACATGTTTCAAAATGCCTCCCTTCTCAACCAGACAGTTTGGAACTGAATGGGGAAGGGGATGAGGCTCTAAAAGCTGTAGGGTTGGTCAGTGGAATTACTCTTATGAATATTATACCTTTCTCTATAATTGTGGTCTTAGTTACCAAAAGTCAATTAAGTTGTCCCATGGATTTGCATGAATAACAAAAATCTAATTGCTCTGAAATCTTGGCCACTATGTAAAATTTTTTTCAAATCATTGAATATGGATACCTACCTATATTTCAAAATTGCAAAACCTTAGCAGCATTCTATGGATCTGAAATATTTCCCAAAGCTGCCTTTTGACCTTTTGCTTTTTGTAATTACTATGCTCTATACTTAGTATGAGAGTTTTCTGGCTTTGGTTTTACAAGGTTGCAGAGCCTGCTCACGTGGTTTGTGTGGCAGGCCCTCTCCTCCAACCCTTTCCTCCCTCCCCTCACATTTATCAGCCTCCTTCTTCAACTGCCTGCCTGCCTGCTCCCCTGTCCTTATGACCTCCTTCCTAATCTGGGGATGGCATAAGAAGACTGGAAACAATGTAGGCACTTACAGAAACTTGTAATAGAAAAGTAATATGTGAGTTGGGAACTGATAGTATAAATAGAACAGATACACAATTTCTACAAGGAACATGAATCACTGTGGCTTCACTCTAAATGTGCTATGGAAATGCAGTAAGTATTCATGAAATAGCCTGAACACTTTTAGCATCCACTACTGTGTTCTGC